CACGTGTGGGACACTCCACGGGCCATCTGCATGAGTGTTTGCTCTCACTCATTCGTGAACTTCGTGCAAAAAGCCATCTTGTTCCTGAGTCACAACCCAATTTGTTTTCTCAAGAAGACATTTCAAGCAAACTCCATTATCTCTTCCATGGCAACAGTTTGGATGGGATCCATTTGCGCCCAAGGACACCTGCAACACTAGAGGTGGCCTGAACATCCACACTGACTTCAGCCTTGTCACCTCCAAGTCGTTTTCCTTTTAACACAACACAGGAGGCTTCACGGGGCCTTCCCCTTCCTACACATCTCGGTTCCTCGCTCACATTCTGTTACCGCATTGGCTCGACTATTTCAATATAGTTGTTTCAAATCTCTCTCTAGGGAAAGAATTATTGGCTTATCTCCCTCAGCGGCCTGGAATGAGGCTCGCCACGTGACTCAGCATGTGTGGCCTTGAAATGGATGCACCTTTCCACTATATATTTGTCATTATCTGGACAAAGCCCAAGGCAGAGAAGAAGCTTGAGACACTGTCTATATAGAATCCAGGAGGCTAAGAAAGCCTGTTTGTTGTATACATCTACCACTTCTTCTTTATCCAGTCACCTGTCAGTAGGCACTTGGGTTGCTTCCCAGTCTTGCCTGTTGTAAATAATGCTGCAATGAACACAAAGGTGCGTGTGTCTTTTTTAATTAGTGTTTTGGATTTTTTCAAATAAATACCCAGAAGTAGAATCGCTGGGTCATAAGGCAGTTCTATTTTTAATTTCGGGGAGAACCTCCATACTGTTTTCCACAAGGGCTGCACCAGTTCCCCCCAACAGTGCACAAGGGTCCCCTTTCTCCACACTCTCGCCGGCACTTGTTGGTCGATTCACTGATGACAGCCGTTCTGACGGGGGTGATCCCTTCGTCAGTGGTATAAACGGCTAATCACTATGTTGTACACCTGGCACTAATATAATATCATATAGCAACTATAATTAAATGTCTTAATTGTGAAAAAAGAAATGTGTTCAGCTGAACATACACTGTTTTCCATAGCGGCCACACAGGCCCCATTTCCCCTACACCTTTGCCAACACTTACCGCTTGTCTTTGATAAGCATCAGTCTAACCAGTGCAAAGTGGCAGCTCACCCTGATTTTAATTTGCATTTCCCTGACGGTCAGGGACCTTGAGCACCCTTCCGTATACCTGTTGACCAGCTGAATATCTTCTTGCCCTTTGTTTAAATCAGATTATTGGTTTTCTTGCTACTGCGTTGCATGAGTGCCTGTAATATTATGGAGAGTAACCCCTGTCAACACATGGCTGTAACAAAATGAAAAGGCAATCCACGGGTATTTGTTGTGACTGTTCCCCCTCAGTCGGTCCATAGGCGGGCCACAGGTCACACCCAGCTGGCCATGGAGAGGTAGGTGGTCAGGACGGTGGGATGCTTGTGCAGTGTCAGCCCGGCAACAAGGCCAAAATAAGACAGGCTAGGAAGGGGGGGTCCCCAGACAATGCTAGGGCAGTGCCATGGCCAGTGCACACAACTTCAGGAGACCCCTGCTCCAAATTCCCTAATGAACACTGCGTGCGGTGTTGGGCTAAGTCCATTCATACATACTATTTCCTTTAAGTCTAAAAAGCACACTGCATCAGTGCCACCATAACCCACTACAGGCCACGTCACCTTGGCTCATGAAAGTCACAGACTCAAGGCCAGATATGAACTCCAGGTCCAGCACATTTTCCCTAACATCAGAACCCCTTTCAGCCACAGAACTAACAAGGCAGAGCAGTGATCAGCCTGACGGGGCTCAGAGCATGGTCCCCCTCCTCCCCAGAGTCTATGGCAAGCCTTCTGAGAGCCAATCGTATCATTACAGCCCTACGATGCCGACCTTGGCTACTTGGTATTTTTGTTGTGGTAACAGGAAAGCCACACAGAACGTAGTCTCCGTTAACCTGAGAGTAGTGTTTCACTCATCCATTCGGTAAATGCTCACTGAGTAACTACCATGAGCCCCACAGCCCACTGAGGACTGAGAATGCTGGAGAACAACACAGTCCCCACTCGCAAGCAGCTCAAGTTCAATGGGGAAGATGAGCAGGCAGATCAATTCAACGCAATGTGCCAAATCCTAAGGCGAGGCTGCAGAGAGGCACAATTCTAGCTCAGTCGGAAGGGTCTGGGAGAAGCTTCTCCCAGAGAAGGTCACAGTAGAGCTGGGCCAAGTGAGTAGCCAGGAGAAAATAGGGGAGGGGCACTGAAGGCAAAAGGACCATTGTGTGGGGGGGGTGGCCTTTGATTCCCGCATTTGCTGTGGGAATTCTGCCTCTAGAAGAGGGGGAGAAAAAAATCACATCTCCCAGTCCTGGTTCATTTAAAAAATGCACTAGACTGTGAACCCACAGTTAGCCCAATTTCCTAGCCCACTCACACCATTAGCCACATCCCAGAACAGAATAACGGATGGTTCGAAGCACAAAACTCAGTGTCTTGCAAAATCCTGAATCATCAATGAAAGGTTCGGTTTTATTTGCTTGACTGGACTTCCTCTTAAGCTGCAGGAAGGATGTCCAGTGCCTCCACTAACGAGGCCCGCCAGCACCGGCTTTCCTGCACAACTCCTCACTAACGGGAACCCACATTCCCACCACCAGCCCAGCCCCCACTTCCCTAATTCTGACCAGCCCCTGTTTGGATTCTGAATTCCATCTCTAGCCATTTGCCAACTGGAAGCTGGGAAGGGGAGGCAGAGGCATTGCTAAGAGCCCTGCATTACCAATGGGGCCAGGGGCATCCAGTGCCACCAAGAGAAATACGAAGAATCCTGCCATTGTTGGCAGAGGGTCAGAACCAGGGTCCAGGCCCAGAAACAGAGCTGACACACTGCATGCACATGTGAGCTCCAGAACGTTCTCTGGGCGAGCTTGGAAAAGCAGTTTTATCTCTGAAAGTTTTCATGTCCTCACCTACAAAATGCAGATAGTAATTCCCATCTCACAGGTCCATGGTGACAAGTTGAAAGTAGCTGGCTAGGTATTCAACTCTCCCTGCTCCCACAGGCTTACATTTTCCTGGATCCTTCTGGGAAACTGAGGCTCCAGGTTTGGCATCCTCAGACCTGCTTCTGCTGGCGGGATCATTCTAGAGAAGGATCGCTGAAGCTCTGGCAACCCCAGGCCCTGGCTACCCCGCCCCCGGACTGGGCAGGGCAGGGCAGGGCAGGGCTGGGGTGCTGGACAGAAAAGGTGGGAGAAGAAAGACGAAGCCCACAAGCTCCAGTGGGACCCCAGGTTCAGAAGTCAGCCAATACGTACTGACCCCCATTTATGTGCAAAAGAACACGTGAGCCTGTGTGTGTTCTTTGTGCCTTTTTTTACTATCACATATTCCAATATTGACTTCAGTTCAATTTAACTAAAGATAGTGCTAGAGACAGAGAGATGAATGTGTTCTTCATCCGTTTTTACCACCTGAAGAAAGCCAAGCGGAAACAGTTGCTAACCCTTCTCTCCACCACTAACACCTGCAAACTTTGAGGTCACCACATACATGAGGTCGCCAAAGGCGGGACCAGCCCGAATCCAGTCCCTGCCTGGAAGCCCCCCGCCTCCCACTGGGTTCCCAGTTTCCAGGGAGGCACCCTCTCCAGGCTTCAGTAACCTCCTTAAGAAACCTGTTGCCAACTCTGAGGTTCTGCGCAGACCACCCCACCTGGTGGCCAAATCTGGAAAAGCTTTCCAACCAAGGAACATGGGCAGGTGGTATGCCTCCCAGGCTTCCCCAACTCCCTCAGGCCCCATCAGTCATGGAGGAGGGAGGAAAGGAATATTCAGTGGTAAATGCAGGAGAGGGGTCAAGGTCATGGCCAATTCTCCACCCAAATCCTGGTCAGGTACAGCCTCTTAAGAAGCAGCCATCAGGATGACTAAGCCACAGACAGGAGGCAAGGGGTAACTGAAATTCTCTGCCAGCCCTAAGTGTGCATTAACAGCCTCGATCTCCCTTCCCGGCAGAGGGGCCACCACTACCATCCTCTCCCTCTGCCCAGGTACAGGTGGATTTTCCACCCAGGGGGTCAGGTGCAGGGGGATTCCATCCTCCTCCGGCCGCCAATTTCCATTTCCGTCTGGACTAGCAAGGAGGCTTTTTCTGGGAGAAGGCCGTCTGGGGGCGAAGCTCCAGCCAGGCCCCTTCATATCCCCGGGTCTCTGTCCAACCAACGCAAGAGAAAAGGCAGCAGCTGAGGCTGTGGGGATCTCAGGACCACCTCGCAGAGATGTTTTAGCCCAGATAAGCCCCCAGGGCCCTCGCCTCCAGGCACGGTTAAGCCTCAGCCTCTGAGGCTAGGCTTAGGAGCCTGAGATACACACTCTCGCTTCCTCCCTTATGAACTTCCCTAAAAAGAACCCAAAGGCATGCATTTTGACCAGTCCAAGTCCGCAGTTGGAGCAACACCAGGATATTTTCTGTATCAGGATGGAGTAAGTAGAGCAGCCCAAGCAGCGCGCGCGCACACACACACACACACACACACACACACACCCGCACTGTGGGCAACAACTCCCACCCCCAACTCCAGGATGTGCTACCGAAACTCAGTAACGATCCCAGGAGAAGGGGCCCGCCCCAGAGCAGAAACACAGCGCCCAAGGGAGGATCCGCTTTATCCTGTTCAGCCTCCACGTTAACTGGGAAAACCACCTAATTCTTTTAAGCTTTGCTATCAGCAACGGGAGAAGGTGCCATAAATGTGCACTCCCCCCCCTAAACACGCCTATCTAATCTCCAAATTGTCTAAGGAACCACGGTTGGACCTTTTAAGCCTTGGGGTCCAACACCCAGAAAGTGGTTCACAGACCTTCCCAGCAGAGAAACACGTACTGAGGGCAGGCTGGTCTCCAGTTCAATTTAAAGCCCCAGAGCGTTCCTCAGCTCCAGCCTCCACCCCGAACCCCAACCTGCGCCGCCGCCAAGGGGCGCCCCGAACGCCAGGTACTCACACGAGCGCGTGGTAGAGCAGCGCCCAGCCCCGCGGTCTCTCCAGGGCATCGTAGATCAAAGTTTGGATGCGCCGGTACTTGGCGTTGTTCCTCTTCACGGGGCGGCTCAGGGGGGTCTTGGCCAGGAGCCCGATGCCCTGCGGGGTCCTCCGCAGCCCCTCGTCGCGGCCGCCGCCCTCCAGCAGCAGGGTCCCGTCTTTGTCAGCTCCGGCCCCAAGCGCCAAGGTGACTTGCTCCACCTCCCCGGGCGCCAGCCCCACTTTCCGCTCCTCGTCGCCGGCCGCCGCTGCGTCTCCTCCGGCCGGGTTAGCGGCCCCGCCGCCTCCGCCGCCCCCGTCGCCGCCGCCGCCTGCCGCCCCCGCCGCCCTGCGAGCCTTGAGCCCCATCTGCCTCGCCCCCGCCGGCCGCTTCGCCTTCGCTGCTGCTCCGGGAAGAAGGGGCGCTCGGGGTGAGTGGACCAGGCGGCGGCGGCTGCAAGCCCGGGAACTCCAATGCCATGATCCGCGCGCCCCTCCCCACCCACCGCCCCAAAAGCAGGCAAAGGCGGGCCCCCGGGGGGCAGGGGAGGCCGGGCGGGGGGAAAGAGGTTCACATCCTGCGCGGGTCAGCTGCGGACCCGGGGGGCGCGGGCAGGCGACTGCGGGGAGCGGACGAGGGTGAGCGAGGCTGGCGCGGAGGCGCTAGGGCGCGTGGCGGCTGGAGCCCGGCCGCGGAGCTCTCGGGCGGCGGCGGCGGCGGAACCTAGGCCAGCGAGCCCGAGACAGCATCGCAGTTTATTTACAAGCCCGATGCCAGCCGCCCTCCCGCCCGCCCGCCTGCCACACGCGCCGCCGCCGCCGCCTCCTCCTCCTTCCTCCGCGCGCACCCCTCCCGCCTGCTCCTGCCTCAGCCCCGCACCAGCAGACGCCTGCGAGTGAGCGAGCGCCGCGGGCCGAGCTCACAGCGCCCCCCTCCCGCCCTCGTGGGGTGGGGCCGCATTGTCCCGCCCCGCCGGCGCCCCGCCCTCCTCCCTGCGCCCACCTCTGCGCGCCCCGCAGGCCGGGGATAGCCTGGGCCTCTTTTCCCGCCCCTTCGCGGCATTCCCTGCGCTCCAGTGGGCGTTGGGCTTCCCCCGGGCGGGGCGTAGGATTGGGGGAAAGAGGCAAAGGGGAGGGTATAGCTCGAGAGGGGGTCTCCCTCTCTGCCTTCTCCTGGCTACTGCAGCTTTACGATTCTGGTCACCTCCCAACCTGGCTTCTGGGCTTCGGAAGTAAAATCCAAGTTGCTGGTTTGGCCAAGGCCAAGACTACAGCGAAGCCCCCCGCCCCCCCCCCCGGGCTCCGTCGCAGCAACGTGGCTCCGGTTCCCTTTGGTTCATGGTTTACGGTGGTTCTGGTGGACAGTGCAGGGCTCACCTGCCTTGGCCCCTTGGACAGCAGCCCCTCCGCCAGCCTGGGTGGACAGAGGGTTGGAGAGATAGGAAGGGCACGGGAATTGAATCCTAGTTTCCTGCTTCGATCCTCACTTGTGCTCCAGGCCAGCCATTCCCTATCTTGCCTGAGCTTCTGTTCTCATTCATAGAGTCAGTTACTAAACCCAGCAGAGTGAGCTTCTACCGAGAGGGGCGGTGTTCCCAGGCCAGGCCGCCGGAGGTGTCTGCGCCCAGACAACTTGCGTCCTGGTGAGAGCTGGGAGACGGTAACGGAGAAGCTGACATAACACGTACAATTGCCAACACTGGTAAATGCTGCGAGGAAACTCGATGGGGTGCTGTGCTAATAGTGGGGGACTTCTTTATGTCCGCCTGTCCTAAGAAGCCTCATTACAGAGGTGACATTTTGGGGTAAGGCCTAAATGACAAGCTGGATCAAGGATGTATATGTCCAGGAGAGCCTTCCTGGTGTCAGGATGGCAGGTGCACAGGTGAGTGAGGTGTGGCCTGAGGTTTGGGAACGGAGGAGAGCAGAGGAAGGCGGGGCACAGGCCCGGCGGGGCGGGATCCCGTAAAGCACTTGGGCAGAGGCCAGTGAGGGTCCTGAAGGTGAAACCTAGCACCCCCCTCCCTCTCACCATGGCCACCAAGGTGGGTTAGAGAAGCCCTCCATCTCTGCCGCACGGGTGCCTCCTGTACTTCCCACCGTCTCCACTTCTGTCTGCAGGCTTGGGTGGGGGGAGGGGCTGTGAGCCAGGCCAAGCCAAGAATCTATCCCCACTATGTACGAGAAGAGTAATCAGAGTGCCTGCCTTGGAATGCCAGCTCCGGATTTGCCTGGAGGAGTCGGCCAAGGAGAGTGAAAGGAAGAAGGGAAGGAGAGGGGAGGGCAGGGTAGGGAAGAAGGGATGGGGGAGGAGAGAAGGAAGGGTGAGTGTACGGGGTGGGCAGGGGACCCTTATGAAGGACTGTGAGACGGGAGAACCTCAGCAATTTCACAGCCAAGAAGGGGGCAGTTTCGAGAAGGGAGTTAACCTGTACCCTAAGGCTGAAATCATCAAAACGGTTTTATATCGGCCCCAGAATAAATTGCTTGATGCAACAGAATAGCTTGCTCAGAACTTGATAAAGTAAGAGTCATCACAACCCGATGGAGAAAGGTTATTCACCGGGCAGCGGGCTGCCGGATGGATTCTGTGAGGCTTACATGAAATACATAGAACACTGCTCCACGCACAGTAGGACCCCATAAATGTTTATGAATGGCTCTGCTAAATGCTTCTGATTAACGCTCAGCAGTGAGCTGGAGCATAATAGGTCAGTGCAAACTCCAGATGGGGGCGCAAGCACTTGGGTTTGAAAAGCTCCCAATGCCACCCACATGGTCCCCCCCCCACCCCCCCCCCCCACCCCCCCCGCCTGCTGGTGTGGCTCAGTGGATTGAGTGCTGGTCTGCAAATTGAAAGGTCGATGTTTTGATTCCCTGTCAGGGCACATCCCCAGGTGTGAGCCGGGCCCCCAGCTGGGGGTGTGCAGGCGAGCTCCAGGCAACTGACTGATGTGTTTCTCACACACAAATATTTCTCTCCCTCCCCCTCTAAAAAGCTTTCAGTGGAACCTGGGTACCCCAAAGCATGATCTGAACTTTTGTTAGCCCCACCCCCAATGCACCAACCATACATGATCTGTCCCAGCCCAGCCCCGACTCCCTAGGGGACAGTTCTGCCCTTCACATGGGAGCACCTGCTCTAACGTTGTCCGTGTCCACCTCTGGTTTACTTATTCATTATATTGATCATATGTGCATTTTGTTTACTTGTTTCCTATTTTCTCCCTAAACAGGAGCGGGGACTCAGCAGCCTATCCCGAAAGCCTAGAACAATGCCTGCTACATAGTAGGCTTTCAGCACTTACTCACAGCGTGAATGAGTGATGAAGAAATGAGTGCAGGGTGAAAAACCCCCAGACCAATGCCCGGCACACAAGCAAGGCTTCGCTTTATGTTTGTGGACGAGAATCTTGTTTTGTCTTTCGTTATTGTGCGAGTTTTTATTCTTAGAAAGTTTTAGTACTCGTTGCCACTCAGGTAACGCAGTGACAGAAACATTTTGACAGAGCTCAGAAAGCCTCCCTAGGTAAGCATGAAAGACTAGTCAAGGACAAGCGAGAAAGAAGACAGAATTCATTACTGTGCAATTAATCGAAAGTTCAGATTTCCAGAGTGGCAGCTGGGACCCTTGGGCACGTGGAGAGCTTCTATTTTGATGAGAGTTACAGACTGTCAAATATTAATGCTTTAAGATCAAGTGCAGGGGCTATTTTCCTGCCTGCCCTAAAGGGTGAGGTAGAGTCAATAACAAATTCATAGCCTTGATTCAATTAAATCCAATGACAGGGAAGCTGTGAGGGCTGTTTAGAAATTGATTTGCTTCAGTGGCTTTATAATCCAATAGAGAGAGTCGTTCAGAGAGAAGGTTTGGAAACGTCATGAAAAGCAAGGCACACTCTGAGTGCCACTTGGGGGGCTGTAAAGTGTTGTGATCACAACACTCTACAGCACAGGTTCCAGCCAAAGGAAATCAAATGTCCTATATCCCACTGGAAGGAAACTTCTTTGAAGTCTAAACTCCCCGAGAGCCTCAGATACCAACCAGGTGTGGTGGGGCGCCATCCTCGTGCCCCACCCCACCGGTCAGCCTGGATGAGAATAAGTCTACCAAGACATGATCTGCTTGGGGAGGAAAGGTGGCCGATCTCTCAAAGGAGCAGGGACAGGAACCTGTTCCTCATTGGGCTTTTATTGGGTTCAATTTGCACAGGAATACCGGTAAGGCTCATCAATCATTGTCAGGCAGTGAGAATCAAACAATAAACAACATTCAAAGAACTAGGAGGACTTATTCTGAGTCAGGGTCAGTTAGCTAAGGGGCTATAAAACTTTGGGAAACAAACTCATTTTATGTTTGGACCCTTATCAGAAAATTGAGAGCATTCTTAGCAGAGCAGGTTTCACAGGATTTTATGCATTCTTTCTTAGGCCTGATCACTTGGGGAACTGCCCAGGGCTGCACCACCCTCTGTCATTGCTTCGGGCTTAAATTAGGCAGGGGAAGAAAGGCAGCCAAGAGATTAGGAGACTTCTTGCACACAGAATGAGGACTCGGGCTATGTCAAAGCAGGGGTCCATCACCCCCTTTTTCTATAGCCCCCCAAGTCCTTCCCTGGGGGCCCCTTTGTGACCATGCCTGTCTTAGGTCATCCCTCCCTTGAGGAATCTTACCTGTCATTGGCTCACTGGTCAGGCTTGGGGCCAAGCAGGGTGAAGTAAAGGGAGCAGAGAGATGGCCCTTTCAGGGAGATAAGCTTTGTCTCCTTACTGGCTTAGGGTCCCAAGGTCTCTCACTCAGCCTTAGTCATGGGGGATGGTTACAGCTTCTGAAACCAGGCAGGGCGGTTCTCAACATCTCGGCATCACATCTGACCTGCAAACAGCGGGGAACAAAGGTGAGCCCCCAGTGCTGTACCTTCCCAGGGGGTCCAGCTGGTCACCTGGTGGCAGCTTGAGTACCCTGGACCTTCCATCACTGGTCGGGGAGAGGTGCTCCTCCCTGGAATAGACACACCACCTAGATACCTGATTGCCTCCCCTGCCTGTGATGCTTCCACCAACATCACCACCCATGGACTTAAAAATGCCTCGTTCACCATCATGGGATTCCAAATACAACTACTTCTGATCAAGTCATGTACTCCACCCCCCAAATGCTTTCAGCACCCCTGGTTAGACATCTACCTCGAGGAGGAAGCAGGGAGACAGGTCTTGGCAGCTAAGGAGACACCCTTTGCTCTTTTGGAGGGGATGGGGCAGGCTTCAGTATGGGGTCTTGCAACAACCTAGGCCACAGGGAAATATGTTCAGGAAGGACATATGCTTCCCCTCTAGGTATTTTTTAATTCTTAAAATCCCAGCTGGAGCACATCCTCAAGTTCGCTGCCCTCTTTCTTCCCTCCATGCCTTTCTTTGCTTGGTGCCCTTTCCCTACCTGAGGGCAGATGAACCCTTGCCCCCCTGCAGGTAAGGAGCCTTCCCAGGAAGAGGGATGAGGGCACCTGCAGGTGTAGAAGTCAGACCCCAACCCAAATTCTGGTCCTGGCTCTGTGACTGTCAGCTAGTGAGCTTGTGAGCTCGTGCAATTTGTGCGACTCGTATCTACCCTGTTACCTCTTGTGTGAGATGGGATCGGGTTTCTGCCCTCCCTGCCTCAGACCTGGTCTGCACACCCGTTCAGAGACCCCTGCCAAGGTGGAGCTCTGCAGCCTACGGTGCACGGTGCACACCGACCACATC